GTTTAGACCGACTAATATATTTGGATTTTCAATGTGGCAAAGTATCCTGGCATATGTTGGACTACATAGTGAGTTACCTGAATGTGGATGCGGATGGTAACTGCGGATTTCGGGTCATCGCGAGTCACGTGTATGGTCACCAGAAGTACTTGGCAGATGCAAGAGACAGCATTGCGAATGAGGTCGACAACCACTGAGAATTGTACGAGTACATCTATTATAGAGATATCGACGCCGGACTCAGTCGCGTAAGGTGGGGCAAGGGCCCTTGTGGACGGGCTCACTGGTTCGAAGTTCCGGAGGACCTCTACGCCGTTGCGATCCTATTTAATGTGGTTGTCATTCATTTGAGCTCTGGTTCGCAAGGTGGGCAGCACGACTTATTCAGCAACACAGTGTTGCCTCTCACTGCACGATCATCGGCTAAAGGACCATGTCGTGAGATTGGCATTTTCCATCTTGGTACCATAGCACACTACATTCGTTTAGATTTGACTGATGATTGTCCATTACCGCCTATTCATAACATGTGGTTCCGTTACCAAGATCAATCGGTTGTGGGTTGGGAGCATCAGTACCAGTCTAGGTTGCAATTGTGGTACACTGTTCAAACAAAAGTTTCTTGAATAAAAGAACGATATTATTCACTTGTGGTGTGACGCTTCTCATTCAACTTAAGTTTAGCAAATAAAAAAAAAAATGAAATGAATCAGCTCAACTTAAGTTTAGCCAAAAAAAAAATATATTAATTTGAATGATTAATGTACTAAAAATGACAAAAAAAGTACCATTAATGCGATTTCGATTGTCCTTTAACACGAACGTATGTTCCAGCGCTTCGAGACATGCTCGTTCTCCTGAGAGACCCGAGAACGAGCATGTCTCGAAGCGCTGGAACATACGTTCGTGTTACAGGGTAATCGAAAATCGCATTAATGGTACTTTTTTTTTCATTTTTAATATAAACCATTCAACTTAATGTTTTACAAATAATAAATAAAAATAAATAAAATCATTCAACTTAATGTTTTACAATAATAATTAAAAAAAAACATTCATTACATCATTATTGGGCATTGTCGTAATCCAACTTAAACTTAGCCAGCTGTTCTTCGACTTCCGCCGCCACCGGACATTCGCATCCCTGCTGCCAAATCGATGTAATGCCCAAAAGACGGTCCACCCACTAAGAAAATGGAAGAATAAAAAGATAAGACTAAAATTTATTAAAAAAAATTATTGTAATGAATTAATTAATGTAATAACCAACTTACATAGGCGGTATTGACACGCGTTGGGACCTCGTTCTCGTCCAGCAGCTCCTTGCCCATGAGAGTCGGATGGGAAACCCGACTGTACCACTGCAGGTAATCCTCAGTCGCCTCCCCGCGATCCTGTGTGGTGTGGGTTAACATACCGGTGTTGACCGTCCCAGAAATCGGGAACTGGGTCCAGGCACCTACTGCACCAGCCTCAGAATGCTCAACCTTGTAGTTCCTAGACTCCCAAGCACGTACTGCACTGATTGGCGGGTATATAGGGGGAGGGACAGTCTGGACATACCCCAGCTGACGCAGACACCGCGCAGGCAAGTACGGCTCGACGACATCGCGATATCGAATCAATCCGCTATAAAGAGTCCTCGGCTCTATCGCATCTGGGCTGGAGCTGCCGTATGGCAACCATTGCACCTGTTCACAATTTCATAAGAGCATTTATAAAAATAATTATATTATTTTAAATAACGGGTAACTAAATTTAAATAAAATAACTTCACGTACATCGGAGGCAGTGAGTCTGTCGAGGCGCCGACGGATGGCTGTGAGCCGATCGTCTGACCGTGGCGCATTCCCTACGCTCCACGAGCGTGATCGTGCGAGACAGTCAGGACCGATGGGTAGATGCCCTCGGGGTCGGAAATCGGGGAAATACTCATATATCCAAGACTGTAGAAGAGTCAAGCAGCCCGACATCTGGGCAGAGTCCCCTCGGCTGGCAATACCTAGCTGTCTGTACATGTATGCCAGCGTAGCCAATCCCCATGAGTAACCCCCAATCAAATCCAAGCCGTCGAGCACCTCGTGCAGGAGCTTGGGGGTCACTCTACTACCACTCTTGTCGACTAACAATGTGGTAGCCAGCATCACCCACAGCCAGGCACCCGCCTCATCCCTAGCCGGCCGGTCTTTCCACCTGAATGCCCCCGAAATGGCGGCTTCGGACACCGAACCACGCTGCCAGAACGAACTCATGAGTTCGCCCTTGGTGACCGAAAGTATCGACATGCAGAGCCCATGGCAGGCGTCCGAATCCAGGTCCTCAGCAATCACGACTCCCTCCACTAGAACGCCCAAAATGGCCCAGACGTCGTGCAGCATGATGCTCATTTCACCAAAAGGCAGGTGAAACGAGTTAGTATCCGGCTGCCATCGCTCCACAAAAGCAGAAAGGAGTGGGGTGTCCAAGTGGGTGTGCATGGAGTCGACCAAATGTGACAGCCCGGTCTGGTCGAGAAGAGCTCCCGCATCGGAAGACATCTCTTCACGCGAGGCCTTCAGATTCTCGATCGCTCGCAGTCTGTTGAGGCATTTCAGCGGCCCCCTCAAATTCCCACTCCACATGCGGGAGGCGACGTGCCCAAGAAAGCTAGGGATGACACTCCCATCAATGGGCCCATCGGGTACTGGGCCTCTAACGATCTAGGGTGCATCATCATCGGTCCTAGCTCGTTTGCTAGTACCTGCATTAAAATACAACATATCTGTATATATTGACTTGCTGGCAGATGCATTAAATAAAATATATTTAATAAAACATATTTCATTAGTTACGTTACATTTTACATTTTACGTTATTATTATAAGCATATATAATTTATAATTATCAATATTATTTTTTGAATTTATAATTAATTACAATTTATTCAACTTACCCTAAATTACAAAATAATTATATTGTAGTTGAGGAGCAGACCAATAATACTTTTCTAACAGTACCGATAATTTGTTATGATTAAGTGAAAATAATTTATGTTAAACAACAATAAATAAGTAAATTATTTACCTGATGATGATGCAGATGGGCCAAAACGCCCCCTAGCCTGTCGTTGAGGAGCAGGCTGTGTGGGACGAACAGCATGTACCGGACGAACATGCTGTAGAACCAGTTGTACCGGACGAACTGGCTGTACAGGAGGACGAGGGTGGTTAGGACCCGTAGGCTGTGCGTGGTCCTGATCATCTGAAGAGTCGTCCGAGTTATAGTCCTCTGGACCCGGCTCCCTCTCGCCGTACGACTCATCATCAGCATACCCCTGCTGACCATAAGGTAATGGTACGCGTGCGCGGGGGGGTATCGACTTCCCTGCGTAGCGGAAAAAAGCACATCCCGACTGATCGTACGGTCCTGGTGCCGGGGACATCGTCCTGCCCGCCTGGGCAGGATAATAAAATCCATGTTCGCCGTACGGGAGGACTCTGGTTAGCCTGACGAAGCTGTACCCTACGAGCCTCATCGATCAACGCCTGCCTTTCCGTGTCCCTCTCCCGACGAACGGACGCATTGACACCCCGACTTCTAGTGTGTCGAGTGCCAGAACCATCATAATAGTCATCGTACGCCTCGTCGTCGTCCCTGACATTAGATTGTCCAGGTCTGCCAACACCCTGAATCAGAAATATAATTATTAGATTTTTCCATATGTAATGATTATTCTAATAACTATTAAAATAGATTATAATTCATTTTTCTTTTCATATATAAATTTTATTAATTATTATTATAATTATAATTGTTGAGATTTATAATAGTTATTATAATTTTTTAGTTCAATTATTATAATTAATACTAATTTATAATTATTATTATATTTAATTATAATTATCATTACAAATTATAATTATTATTTCTTATAATATTATTATNNT